TTTGCAAATATATATTAAAATAATATTATTTATATTAAATATTTATAACATATATAATATATATAATATATTATATTAAATATTTATTAAAATAATATTATTATAATTCATTTTTTTAATTGAAATATTGATTATTAACTCGAATAATTTATTTTCATTATTTTAGGGAAAGTTAAATATCATTTTTATATTTTATGTTGTCAAATAAATGTTGATCTGATTTCATGGTAATTTTTTAAGATCTTGAAGATTTTTAAATTTTTTTACATTGAATAAAATAATGTAAATATAAATTAAATTAATTTTTTCAATTATCAATTAATCAATTAGTTTTTAAAAATTATAAAAGAAACATGAAGTAATTAAAGCATTATTTTTTTTTAAATAAAATTTAAATATTAAAATAAAAATATATTATCAAATTCATAGTATCTCATAAATACCACAAAAATATTATTTTATATTTTGATTAATATGTTCTACATTTTTTAACAATTTACTTTAAAAAAAGTATAATAAATATTAAAAAATAATTGATAATTAATTTTTAATTGGAGAAAAAAAATTAAAAAATATTTTCAAATTATACAAAAAATTTTAAATTATTAAATATTCGTTAAATAGATGCTTTGCTCTAAATAATAATTGAATGTAATGCTTAAAAAGTAAGCAGATTGAAAATGAATTTCCTATTCTAATTTATTTATTTTTTGCAGTTATTTTAAGCGTTTAATTGACTATTATAAAATTATCATATCAATTATCTTGGTATCAACAAGAATGTTAAATTTCAATCTATTATTTATAATGTAATGATTAATTTAAAAAACAGAATAAAATTAAAGATTTTGCAATATTTATCTATAACTTCAAAAAAATTTTAAAAAAACTATTTATAAAATTTCTTATCATATAAAATAGTTCAAATAATATTATCTATACCTATCTTATACACAATGTACAATCCTTTTTTGAATATATTATTCTTATTTGAATATAATAATTTGATTGTTAAAAATAAATCTATCTTTGACTTTAAAAATTCAATTATTGTGAAATATAAATTTAAAGCATTCTATCTATAATTTACAAGCGATTTACAGACTTTAAAAAAAAGGCGAACTTAATCTAATGATATAAAAAATATTTATTTTCAAAAAAAAAAAAAAATTCACAATCTATCAATCAAATGCAATCATATAGACCAGTATATATTTATGGTCCAAATAGTTAAACGAATCAGTTTATCTCCCTCTATTTTCATTTCATTTCCATTTGCTATTTATTATTTTTAAAGATTGCGTACAAAGGAAACCTAATTTGCTTAGCACACGATCCAAAGTGGAATTAAGCTTAAACGATCGATGGCGGATAACAGAGTCCCGGGCGAAAGAAGAATGCGAAGCAAGTACGGCCTGGTGTACAAGGTGCTACATAAGCCGGATGGGTTTGTCTCGTGTTCCAAGTATTACAAGAGCGATGTCCACGTGTCGAGACTGTCAATTCGTAATGTTGCGCGCGACGAGCATCTTCGTCCACATTCGCCTACCTTCGGCCACCGGGTTTTTCCCCTTCCTTCCTCATCTTTTTCATGGGAACGTTGACTCCGAGGCGTGGCGCCGGAACTCGAGAAACGTCCTAGCCCGACGACCTCCTCGGAAATTACGTGAGTCGACCGCGTTCCATTCACGATTGCCCTTACTATCGCAATCTCGTTAGATCTTCGATTTCCTCGCTCTTTCCCCTTCAACATCAACTGATTAACTCATTCGTCCCTCAACCTCGATCAAATTTCCCGCCATTTTTCTTTGCATCAATTTTCTTCGAATCAATTTTTCTTCGAAATCAATAAAACAAATAAGATAAGTAGATAAGATAAGTAGATAAATTCTTTTCTCTTGCCGTAATTTTTGTTCTGGGAAACAGTATATATGCATGTCTGTCTAAGAGGCAAACATTTCGAACGTTAAAAAAAATTTAACAAAGAAAACGAGACAAAGAAAATTTTTCTTTCTGGAAAAATTCTTTTATCATATAAGATTTGTATTTTAAAAAAAATTAGTAATTCTTGTTAAAAAAATAAATAATAAATAATAAGCGAAACGCACTATCATTTTATTATTATAGTAAATAAAAATTTTGTTATCCCGATATCCAGAAAAAGAAATTCGAACGTGCCGAATAAGCAGGAAACTAGAAACTGAACTTATAAACATGTTATTGATCGGTGACCACTAGTGCGCCAGCGCAGCGCAATCCTAAGGGCAAAACAGTAGCAATCTACCCTCATTCACGTTTTGTGCAGTGTTCTTGTGTCGTTCCATCGTCCATTCGCTGCTTCTAGTTTGACACTTTCAAAGTGTCATCGCGTGTGGCTAACATGTCCGGTGGTATGTATGCATACGTTTAATTTTAGTCTTTTATATCTTTCTTTCTTTTTTTATTCTCTCGAAAAAAGAAAATGAGTCGAAAAAAGGAAAATGAGGCGAAGATGGATAATGTGAAGAAAGAAAAGAGAGAAAGAGAGAGAAGGCAAAACGAAAAAAAAAATTTATTAACATTTAATCATTTTTTAATTCATTCATCAAGACAGGGACTATATTGGATTTGCAACATTACCCGAACAAGTGCACAGAAAATCGGTTAAAAGAGGATTCGAGTTCACTCTGATGGTGTTAGGAGAAAGTGGCCTTGGAAAATCTACTTTAATAAACAGTCTCTTCCTCGGAGATCTTTACAAAGACCGACGAATCCTTGATGCAGCTGGTTGGTACTACTAAATAGTACAAAAATATTAAGTCGCACGTTCGATGATCATTGCCAAAACCAGTTCTTTCTAGAACGCATTGAAAAAACAACAACGATAGAAAAGAAGACAATGGACATCGAAGAACGTGGAGTCAGGCTACGTCTAACGATCGTTGATACACCAGGTAATCTTAATCTCTTTTAATATCCAACTGTTTTGGAAGTTGATAGTGATATTTTGAGATATATTAAATTTTTGAAAAGTAAAAAAATTTTTAGTTTTTCTCAATGATAAATTTTTAAGCATTGACCTTTTATCCAATTTTATTTAAAAAATTATAGTAATGTTCAAAAGAAATGATAATTAAAAAATATTCAAATGAAATAAAAGATTGCTAAGATTTTTTGATATTAGCTATCTGTTAATTCATAATTTGATCATATCTCATAATGACTCATATATCTTAATCGTTTTAAATATTATATCATTAATTATTTTTGATATATTAATAATATCTCAAGTAATATCGTAAATTTCTAATTATTTAACATATTTGTATCATTATTATAAAAATCTTTTAAACAAAAATTGTCAAAATTATTTTGAAATATGAAAATCAATAATATTTTCTCTATAAATTATATATTTTTTCATTTCAGTTATAATACTGAACACTTGAAGAAATGAAAAAATGTCATATTAAAAAAATTTATTTTCTTGTTATTTATTTTAAATGACTAATTATTAAGTTTTATCACTATTAATTGCAAATAATTATTTCTAAAAATTTTACTAATAAATTATTTTTATTTTCCTATAATATAAAATACAGATATTGTAAAACTAAAGAAAAACTAAAAAAATTAATTAGACAAAAAAGAATTATAAAAATATCAATTAAAATATAATCAAAATATAATATCAATTAAATAATATAATATAAATATCAATTAAAATATAAATCATAAAAATATAAATTAAAATATTAACAGAAAGTAATTTCAGTTTTCTGAATCATCGAATACTTTCTAATGTTAATGATTAATATAAATTTATTTTTTTTAATCATTTTTATAAATCGTTTTTATAAATATCTTTATTTAATATCTTTTTTATAATAATTTAAAAAACAAAAATTTTTATGCAATATGCAATTTTATGCAATCATTGTAATATAATTTAAATTTTTTTTATATTTGTGAATTAAAATTGTGTTGTGAAATATCTACTATTCTAATATATTTCTTGTGTCTTGATATATATTATTTCATTAAACGTGAATTACTTTATGTTTTTTAATTTATGTTTATTTTATTGTTATTTATGTTTATTTGTCGTTAGAATTTGTATATTCAATAATTTTATTTAATAATTGTAGTTTGATAGTTGGATTAATTCTAGTTCAATTCATTATTATATTAACTTAATAATTCTAATCAAATAAAAATTATTAATTTCAATTAATTGATACGAATCATATTTCAACAAATTATTTTCCTCTATTATATATATTTTAAAGATTAAATAACCTTAAAGTTAAAAATTCAATTAAATTAAATAAACTATATTAAAATTGAAAATTTTCTTAAGAATAATTGCAAATTCATATATCTAATATAAACAAGTTAAAATATGAGTTATCTTATCTAATGTTTAATTATTACATTACTTAATTTAAATTAATATCTAAATTCAGACAAAAATACAATTATTTTGCTAATATCATTATCATAAAATGAATCATAAATAGTGATTTGCAAATCATTTGAAATTATATATTTTATCGAATTACAATATTTATGTTTATGATACTGAAGTCAAAAATTAACATAACTTTCTTATCAATCTAATATATATATTTTATTTTTATTAAAAGAAAATTTCATTTGTAATAACGTGTAATAAATTTCATTTGGACTATTTTATAATCTATAATAAACATTTATTAGATTAGTATATAATCTCATTTTTTTAAATAAATCTATTTTCTTCATATTCTACATAATTTATTTTTATAAACAACTTACTAATTTTATTTTATATTTATAAAAATTGTCCAATAATTTAACAAATTTGCAGTCTCTACATTTTCTTTATTCTTCAGTCGACTTTCAAAATTATTCATGTGTATAATATTATGTAATCAAAATAATATTTCTAATTATATTATAAATATTTCTAATCTTTTTCAAATATTTTTTATAAAATTTATTTAAAAATATTTTTAATAATTTTTATAATACTTTCCTTATAT